TAATTTGGATCTAAAAGAATTCTGATAAGAAGCTACTACAAACATCGATTCTTTTATCTATCTCAGTTTCTCCTTGAAAAAGCTTAGCTGAAATTTCATTAATCCTTCCAATATTTCTATTCATTTATAGTGTAAATTTTTAAATTAGTACGTTATAACAATGCACTAAGATTATTAAAGGGTTAATTTAATCCTTTAATATATTCATCTATTTAATTAATCTTTTGTTTCTTTGCTTCTATCTAAGAATCTACAATTACTTTTCATCCTACCATTCTTTGATCTTAAAAATAAATTTATTATAAACTTTTTAACTTGTGCTTTTAGCAAAGCTAGACATTTAATAATTTATTTCGAATAATTTTATTATTTATAAGAGATAGTAAATAAATATATTAGAATTTTTTAAATTCTATTAATATTTAGTGTTAAAAGATTGTAAAGAATGATGGTAGAAGTAAACGTATTAGAGTATTTTAAAAATGTAAAAAGAGTAAATATATAAAAATAGTGTCATCCGTAATTTAAGAATGTAGTGAATAAGACATTTAAATAATTGGCTGAAATTGGCGCTCTTTTTAGTAAATAGAAAAGATTTAATTTAAAAATTAAGTAATTCTAAATATCTTATATAAGGAAACGGAGAAGTGATAAAAGTTCTTAAGTTCTTATATGGTAAGTAGTTTGTTGTATTTTTTTTAAACTCATTTTGATTAATTTCATTCTTATTTGACTTTCTTGTTGAGCAAATATGCCAATGGATTTGCCTGATAGCTGGATTATTGGATCTATTTTATTTACTCACCTTTGTTTTTTTTATACTATGGCCAGAAACCATATTTAATGATAAATTCTTTCTTTTGGTTTTCAAATTCCTAAACATATTTTATACTAAATAACTTGTCTCAAAATTTTATATTCCTCGACTGCTTTCTCTTTTAAGGCTGCATTAGAACCCCATTCAAATTTAATAGTACGATCTATCTATGTTCCATTGTACTCTGGATGGATCATCTCTAGATGCTGTCTCATTTGTTTTTGGAAGCTATAGAGACATTATAAATTATAAAACATGATCATAACTGGGGGAGGTGGTTAAGGAACAGGGACTCTATCAGTATCATTGATATTGACAAATCCATGATGTTAGAAGTACTTCTATTAATTGAGTTTCTCTCTCTTTTTCCATTCTAGATTAACCAAATTAGTAATTTCTTCTGTGGTTCTTTTAGGAAATTTTTATTGATAGAGAACAAATTATTCATCATAAAATTTACGATAGGCAGAGCTTTGCTTTTTTGTGGCAGGTTAATCAAGTTGCAATTATTTGAATCTCTTTTTATGCATTTTTATTTATTAAATTATTAAAATCAAAAAATATTTTATGTAGTTCATACTTTTATTGTAATTATATGATGTGAACATTAGTTTAAATGTTAATCAACTTTAATAATATTTATGATTATATTTAAAAATGAGATATAAATGATTAAAGATTATGTGGAGTATAGAAATATTAAAAGATACACTGAGAATAATGATGAGAGATTAGATGAAAAAAGATATTCATTGGATTAAAGAAAAAGAAATATCATAAATTATATATATATATATATATTTATTTAATTAAATTTATCTAAATGAGTGATACAAGTAAATAAGATAATACATTTAGATTCTACTCTCTTTTATGCTGGTTTAACTTTGGCATCTGGATTGATCACAGATTTTTTAATTAATAGGTTGAACAAATAGTAGAAAGGGGAAGAAGAGAAGCCCATTAGAACTCTAACTATAAGAAAAAGATCTTTTGGTATGATTAGATATTAATATAGTCAATTCAAAATAAGCTCCAGTTCCAGAAGCACTTTTAAATTCTGAGAATCCATTGTTGGATGAGATAAAATTCTTAAACAGTGCTACATGTGATATTTAGAGAGTGAATCATTTATCACTTGGATTGGATGATGAATTTCCTAATATAAAATCTCCATTATTGGGAGAAGGAAATTTGAGATCAGTATTTGGAGGAGGAGGATTTTTACCAGATGATGCATTTGTGTATTGTGGATCATACGTAATAAATACAGCTGTGTTTGGTCCTGGTAAAAGAATAGAGAATACAAAGAAATGGTTAAGAGCAGGACCAAGAAAATCATTGTTTTTTGATCCAAAAACAGTGAAGGTATAAGTGATATTAAATGTTTAAGGCTGCAATAGTAACATGTGGAGGATTATGTCCAGGATTGAATGTTGTAATAAGAGAATTATTTATGTCTTTGCATTACAATTATGGAGTACAAGATATCTATGGAATAAAGTATGGATACAAGGGATTTTATACGTATGAATGGATAAAGTTTGATGCAAATTATGTGAAGAATATCCATAATTTAGGAGGAACTATATTAGGTTCTTCAAGAGGAGGGTTTGATTTGAATAAGATAGTAGAGTCTATGATACATCATGGTGTAAATTAAATATTTTGTTTGGGTGGAGATGGCACTCATGGAGGAGTATTGGAATTATTTAAAGAGTTGAGAAAAAGAAAACTTAAGATTTCAATAGTTGGGATTCCAAAAACAATAGATAATGATATTGCAATAATAGATGAATCATTTGGGTTCGAGACAGCTGTAGAAGTAAATAATATTGAAAATATAAAATTAGGAAGCAATCAATGCAATTAGATCAGCTTATGTAGAAGCAAATTGTGCAGAGTATGGAGTGGGATTAGTAAGATTGATGGGAAGAAATGCTGGTTTTATTGCTATGTCTGCTTGTAATGCTTCTAGAGATGCACATGTTTGTTTAATTCCAGAATTTAAATTTGAATTATATGGAGATAGAGGATTATTAGAATATTGTTTTTAAAGACTTAAAAAGAAAGGCACTCTAGTGCTTGTTATTGCTGAAGGAGCAGGAGATGCTATGTTAGATTATAAAGTCAACGTTGTAGAAACAGATGCTTCAGGTAACAAAAAACCTTAAGATGTTGGAGTAATAGTAAAAGATGAACTTACTAAATACTGTAAAACAAAAAATATGACTATCACGCTTAAACATATTGATCCAACTTATATGATTAGAACTGTTCCAGCTAATCCTCATGATAAGATTATGTGTACTTAATTGGCTTAAAATGCTGTTCATGGAGCAATGGCTGGATTTTCAGGATTCACTGTTGGTCATGTTAATAATAGACTAGCTTATATTCCAATAGAGGAATTGCTCTCTGGTAAATACTCTAATAGAGTTGTTGCTGATAGTCGAGAATGGTAAAGACTCCTTGCCAGTACTGGCTAACCTTCATTCTTAAATAATGAAGAATAGATGATCTAAAAATAGTAATAATCATGAGAATATTAATAAAGCATATCTATTAAAAACAAAATTTATAACATTCTTTATGAACAATATTCGCTAATCAAATGAACTATAATTAATTAAGAGAAAGTCACCCTATTAATTATAAGAAAAACCATAAAAACTTATCAAAGTGTCAATCATGTCTCAAAATCAATTCAAAGAATTTCTTGAATCTCTATCACTCAATTTCACGTAATTGAATCACAATCTACAACTAATGCTCACTCTTTATAATGTACAAATATTTCATGAAAATGACAACTATCAACTCCTTACTACTAACTCTGATGTTGATTCATTAACCAAATATTAATAACAATGGTTAATTAAAACCATTTGTAAACTTGGAGTCAATCATCAATTCTGGCCTGAAATTTCAAATGTTTTAAATAAAACACTTTCATAAATTAAGGCCTTTTGGATTACTCTACAAGATAATTGGACAAGTGAATAAGACAATAAGTTGATTCAATTTCGAAATTAATAGCTAAATTGGTTAGAAATATCATTGAGGCTTGATAAAAACACAACTAACTCTAAACATAGATGGAACAATGTACTTGATCCTAGTTTATCTAAAACTCCTTTCACTATTCAAGACGATATCTTATTACTCTAAAAAGCTATTTAATTAAACTTCGATTGGAAGAAAATATAAAAGATTATATAACCCAAAAGAAGTCAACCAGATCTTATCTCTAGATTTATCAAATTATAATCTCAATATAAAAATATTGACAATCTTATCCAAAGAGTTTAATTTACTATTGCTTAATTACCAAAACTTGATAAACATTCTATGCGCATCCTCCCACAATAATCAACTATTATTGAAAAGACTGTTGTAGAATATGAAACACTTTCCATTCTAGATCTTAATTTATTAGATGCTATGTCACTATAATTCTGTCTAGTCAAGCATCAATAGATATTTTTTGTTACTCTTGAATACATGCAATAGTTAGTTAATTTGAAGTTAAATTAAAGAAAACTATTACAATTTATGAAATAATGATTATCCAATCAAATTTAATAATACAAATTTCTTATTTATCATTCCCTATACATTTTAATAAATTTTAATATTCCTAATCCTTCTTTTAAAGACACTTCTTATATCATTCATTACTATATTCCTTTTTCTATTAACTTTATTAAAAGACTCAACTAATAGGCTTACAAATCATTAGATATACTTAATAATAATTAATTCCTCCCCTAAAATTAGAGTTTCATAAACCTTTTTAATTAAACGTGAAGTTTGGTTTCTAAATTTAAAGTTACATTAAATTAAATGAAATATTCAATATCATATTTTATTGGTAGCATTTATATAATAGTTAATATATATATAATTCAACATAACATATACTAAGATCCAATATTATTGAAAGTGTTAAGAATTTGTAAAATATAAATATTAATGATCATAGTTAGATACAGTGAGTATCATGAACTTTAAAAAATAAATTAGGCATTCCTGTTATCTCATTGAAATCCTCATTTATAATTCCTAAATTTTATTAATACGATATACCAAATATAAATGGAGGCTTGATAATATATCCCTGAGCACTTTAGATATCAACCATTTTAGGTCTATAAGCAGTACTAAACCTACCTAATCCTATTACAGTATTTGACACCTTAACTTTATTATTCACAATAAATTAGGGAACATAAAGATTTTAATCAATTGGAACTTATGCTCCACATTAATTTAAAATAGACTGAACCTTTTATAATGATATTTCTTCATTATCTAAAATAAAATTTATAAGTTACATTCAAATACAAAGATACTTGTATTGCTTTAATCAGTGGATATCAAATAAACTTTCAGATTTCCTGAATCAGACATAAATACTTTTGCATTATCAACATTAGTTACAGTTTAGAATCCATTATAAATAAGTCTTTGATGTTATGCTAATCTACAATTTGACCACCTATAACACTCTTTACAAAAACTACTAATCACCTTATCTGACGAAAGTGTAACTTCAGAATTAGATGGATTGATTTAATCAAAGCCTTCAAAATATTGATTCATATAGACATTAAAGTCATTTTAAGAATGTTCTTATATTTTAATCCCCTTAAATCCAAACTCCTATTATATTTTAAACAGTATACTGCTTGTACAAGGTTATTTTTGTACTGACTGATTATTTCATCATCCAAATCTATTTTAGTGTTTAAAGTTGCTAGACAGTATAGTGAAATAAAAGAATCTGCATTTTAAATAGCATTTTTATCACAAGTAAGATAAAGATGCTATAAAAATATTGGATCAAACTGTTTTGGTGGATCTATATCAGTAGGTCTTCTGACAGCTATTATAAGCTTACATATATTATTACCCATAACAGTAAATCTTGTTTCTGAATTTACACTCTATACTACTTTCCATTTAAACCCCAATTCTTTCAATTTTGCTGTAATTTCCTTATTGGCTTAAAATGAATCATTTTAATTATAATGATATAACGACATTCTAATTTCTTAACAAGGATCAATTTCCCATATAAATTTAAGAATAATTTTAAGTAACTCTTAAAATTATTATGGATCTCTAGTTGAGAAATGACTTAACATCAATCTTCTTTCTTATAAAGACTAATCTAGATAACATTAACCTAAAGCTAATAATTATGATTTCTAATATATTCCCAAACAAAAGCTATCATCATATTGATTATATTAATTTTGCATCAATTAAATCTCTCCCCTCCAAGATTTTTAGAAATCTTCATTAATATTATTTAGATGATCAATTACTATTTGATCATTTAATTAACATTTTTTAACTTTGAATGTTTCATCATCATCATCATTAATTACATTTTATTACTCAACAATAGGTACAGCTGCATGAACTAAATTTAATTTCTTTTGTTCTGATGGAGGAATACTTTCTTATACTTATTGCTTATTATTGGAATCATTTGGTGTTACTTTCAGTGAATTTTATTTCTAAGGAGTAGCACTTCCTTATTTATTTGGTTATTTTAATGGAATATTTTTTGGAACTGAATTTTATGTTTAATTAGTTAATTCATTATGATCAAGTTACTTATAAATTATACGCTATAAATAAAATAAAAAAGCTTATTACTTTTTAATTTTAACTTTGTTCTTATCTTTTAGGAGGTCTTATACGTCCTGGTTGAATGGCTTTTTCAGGACTCATTTTAATTTGATCTCTTGAATTTGTTTAATTGTGAATTGATTTATCATCCTTAGAAATTGATTAAGTTTCTTCTTATATTATGATTTCACAATTTTTAATTCTTTTTAATAGAGGCTTAGATATGAATTAAACTATCTTATTAGGATCTTCGGCTGGTTTAGTTATTGCCACAAAAAAAGGATCAGGTTTAACTGAAAATTGATAATAATTTGATAGAATTGAATTTGTTATGTATAAAATATCCTTTCTCATCTAAAAATATATAATGTCATATTTAACCTTTATTAAATAATTTTCTCTTTGATATGTATATGGAAGAGATATGCTTTCCTCAGAATGAATATTGACTAAAAATTTCATTAAATATTATCTCCATCCAAGAATCTATTCTACCACATTAATTGAGAGAATTCTTAAATGGGTAATTAATTCAGCACTTTTTTGTAATAGTTATTCATCTCCAGGATAATCTAATAATTATTGAATATGATTAATTAAAAATGTTAAACACTTCTCTCTAGCTTCTACTGCTTACATGCATAACTAAATTATACAGCAACAATACTTATATATGAGATTTCTTTTATTACATTTCTTCTATTTCAAATTGAATTGCTTAATTATTTTTAGGTAGAGTTTGTAGACACATCAAAAATAACTATCTAAATAATAAAAGGTTTCACTTTACCTATGAAACTCAGGTATATTGTAATGATCTTACATTTCCAGTAATTTTAATGTATTATTCATTTACTTTGGTTTCTGTTTTTCGACAGATTCATTTTTATTTTAATTTTAAACATAAAATCTATTATTCCAATTTTCTTCCTAAGTGAATCATTAAATTATAAATACTTTCTTCTTTAATTAATTCATAACAATTAAATGTCTAGATTTCGTATTTATTACTTATTCTTATTTGGATTTGCGATGTTCCAAAAATTATTGTTCGAACATAAATATATAATAAAAAATATATTAATATTTTATAACTGTTTAATAAATTGCTTTTATTAGGTAAAATAAATTAAAGTAGAAACATTTTTTAATTTTTCGATTCTTTCTCATTGATCTGACACTATTTATTATTTGATAGAAAAATAATGCTTTTTATCAATATATCATTATATATTCTTCAAAGCTATTCAAAATCATTTATGAACTAAGATTTTTTTATACATATATTAATTTAAATAATAAAAATGAAGGAAATGCGTCCATTACTAAGACGAGACAGCTATAGTGAAGAAGAGCAGTTATTATAACACAGTGAGTGTGATTAAGTTGAATTTTAGCTAACCGATAACTGGTGTTAAGCTGAGGCTGACACCGATCCCAATACAATCGTTTAAAAAAGCCACTCAATAAATAAGAAAGGACAAGGCCGATACAAGAATGTTCCTTATACTTTTGGTAGACACTTTAGAAATTGGATTATTACTGAGGTTGAATCCATTCGATGTCCTGTGGTTTAAAAATTTATCTCCAAACGTAAAACCAATCCTAGATATCATGACAGTTTCAAAGATTTTAATCAATTATTCCAACACTCAGGTATTGCTAGATAACTAGGTTAAATCTTTTTTGGACAAAAAAAATGGATGCAATATTTACTAGAAAATGAAAGAGTAGCTGGTTTCTAAATATATTTTGAAGTTGAAAGATCGTATTACGATGCAGCAATTAATGGTACTAAAATCACTCAATAAAAGGTGAAAAATCTATGATAAACTTTTTTAACATAAACTTTGGTTTGTATTTATAATTTATTGAATTTTGAAATATATATTACTCTATCTTATTTTTGGGTTTTACTTGATTTAAAAAATTTACCTTATCTTTGATTTGAAATAAATAAATATATTTTAAGTGAATTATTCCATCTAAATTGAAATTTAAATAATATTAGAAATGAATAGATTGAGTATTTAAAATTAAAAGAGAAAAAATAAATTAAATAAAGAAATGAAATAGGGAATAATAAAATAAAGAGTTAAGCAAATCATTGATTTAAGCATTTTCTAGAACTTAATACTTGAGAATATGGTTCTGATCTAGCACTTATTGTGATTAATCTAATAGATTTTTTTGTCTCTGAATGTTCATTAATCTAATTCATCAGTGATTGTAATGGTAATCTCTTACAACTATGAGCAGACTATTATTTAGAATCATTAACATGAAAATATTCTGTCTATTGTGAATGAGAAGATACAAATTTACTCTTATGATTCTAATCTTAGATATTTTCTATTTCCTAATCTAACATTGATGGATTATTTCTAAATGTTTAAAGTTAATCAATTTATAATTAGGAAATCTAATTATTATTTTGCTAATGTTTATTTACAACTTCATACAATAACTTTTTAGCCTCTATAGTTTCTTAATCACTTATAAATAATTAAAAATGATGATTACTTTTAGATATTCTCAATCTCTTTTTGGATATCAAATTCTACTTCTAAAATAGTTTAATCTTTATCATCCTTTTCTAAAATTTATTAAGGAATCTAAGAAATACTATTCTGTGTCAAAGTATTTAATATTTCAAATTAGCATTATTACAAATAAGGAATAGGCACTCTTTATTAAATTGGATTTGATTGAATAGCTTAAAATGTTTATTCAGCCAATATTTTATATGTTTCAACATCTCCATGTTATTTTTTTTTAATTTCAACACATATTCCATTTTAAAATATACCTTAAATCATTTTCATTTCACTCTATAAAGTAATTATTAAATATACATTAATGAAATAACAACCTAAACCATTATATTTGTTGTCTTTAAAACTTCCAGTATAGATATCACCATTCATCCAAATCTAACCGATATTTGTTAGATTTGAATCATGGAAAATTCCAATCCTTTTCTCTGTAGTAAACATGTTTTCTATACCTAAACCTACTTATTTCCCTCTTTTCATTCTACCTAAATATGTTTCAGTTATTCCTATTGTATTACATTGATTTCTATCTAAGATTTCCTCTAAATCTAATAATCTATTCTAAAATTCATCTAATCTTGATTTCTTAAATACCTAATAAAACATCTACTGATTCTAAATTTGAGTCAATCTACATTAGTTCTCCTCTCCTATAATAAGAAACTGTTTATCCTTTTAAACATTTCCCATTTAATTAACCATACTCAAATCGATAAAATTCACTTTGACTAGAACTATAGAGTATCAATTACATACGTGTAATTTACACTTAAACCATGAAATTTATTATTTTTGAATTAACCTCTTATAATATTATCATTTATCATTATTATTCCTTCACCATGAATCATATCCTTGTACCATTCTCCAATATATATACATCCTGTAGGCCACCAGAATATTCCTATTCCTTCTTTAATTCCATTTTATGAAGTCCCCTAATAAATACCATTTCGATATGCAATCATCTAATTAATATTACTGTTAAATTTTTATAAAAAATTAAAAAGAAAACTCAATCCTAAAATTCAAACTAAACCATCTAAGACAATGTCTTTCATGTTTAAATTCTATCCTAATCATTACCAATATGTCTATTAAGTTTAAAGAACTGTCTCACATACTCTTACATATATAAATAATTAAATGAAAATATTTAAATATAAACCAATTAAGAAATTCAAGACAAATAGCTTATAATATATTCAAGTATATAATATTTTCAAATTTTTCATTGATATATATCTTAAAACAAAATCATTTATCTTATCTTATTTTATTTTTTAATATTATTATATTAATATAATATTAATTAATTAATTATAACATTTTAACTTTAATAGTTATATAAATATTTTTCAAGAGTCGAATACATTCTGAATGAGTTAAGGATCCTCGACTTCAGTCATATCAGCTGACTATTTTTCTTCCTTTTCTTAAAACATCAATTATTTGTTATCAATGTCCTCATAAGTACTTTAATTTTAATTGATTTCTTTCCAATCGATTTCAAATCGAGTTATACGGGGTTTATTATTGAAGATTTAACGTGAAATATCTTCTATAATAATTTCAGGAGGATCGTTCTCTATATTCTCTTGGGACGTATAAGTAGTGTAAACATAGTAACCTACTCTAAAGAATTCATTTTCTTTGTAGGAACAAGTGAGAATAAAGGCCGTAATACCCAGTAATTCGTTATGGGGAATTTTTTTCCAATCAGGAGGATTGCATTCTAATGTAAAATGTTTTGCTCCTACTTAAAGTGGTCCCATTGAGAACTAATCAAGTATTTGATCATGTGAATCATCTTTAGGTGAACCTATAAAGAGAAGCCTACAATAAAAATATTAAAATACATCCATTCAATTTCATCTTCAATGTCAACTAAGACATCAAAGTAAATGTCAATAATGATAGGACTTTAGAAGGGCTAAGACTTATCATCTATGACTATGTTAGTTATGTTAACTAAAGACATTAAACTTTTAAATTAATTAATTATTGAATTAATAGAGGAATTATTTTAATTTCAATTACTTTCTCTTTCGTTTCCACTACTACATTTACTTTCTGTTTTTCAAATCCATAAACTTTAAGTTGTTTTAAGTTTCTAATTTACAATTAAAATATTTTAAATTAATATTAGATAAATCTCTTGAGTTAACCATTTCTTCTACTTTTTATGGATTACCTGAAATTCCGATATTATTTGTTAATTAAATTTATGTAAATCTTTATGTTTAAATATAAGCATATGAATATTGATCACTCTCTTTAATATCACATGCTTCAATTCCTATTAATTTTGATCCTCAAAATTTAGATATTTTAAATATAAGGATTCGAACCAAATAAATAATTATATTGCAAAATTTAGGTGTTAATTAAAGCTAATAGAATATTGTAATAAATATTCAAAGAATTTTTTAATTGGACTAAAATTAATATAAATAAAAATGAGATGTAAGTTACCAATAAAATAAAAAGTGCTTTTTTAAGAGTACTTGAAAATTCAAAGTAAAATCTTCAGAACTGTTATTAATTTAATAATTGATTCATATACCTTAAGTATATTTATTGATAAACTTGTAAAAATATATATTTAAATCAATAATAAAATTAAGTGTGTAAATAAAACAACAATATAAAATCAAAGACTAGGTGGATAAAATATCCTATATTATGAATTATAAACAATTAAATGAAGTAAATTAAATAGAATGAAGGCAAAAGTTCCAAAAAATATAAATTAATTTTTGAGATTTCTATATTATATCATCAAGAAAATCTTTTGATTAAGTTAAGATGAGAAAAAAGTTAAGAATTAAAGTATAGCCATGAATTTTAGTGATTGTTATAATGTAGGTGAGAATATAATCGATGTTCCAATAAATAGGATAAATTTTAATATCTTCCTTACATAAGAATATTTTACTGAAAAGAGTAGAATAAAAATATTAGAGAAGATCAATAGGGTTTTGGTTTTAGATTATAATTATTGGGGCTCTAATAAATCTTGTGAATATATTAATTGATAAAATAAATAATGAATTAGGTAACATTTAAGTAATTGAATAGGATATAAATAAATAAAATTCTTTATAATGTTTATTAAAATTGTTATGAGTAACTTATAAATAATATTTGTTATGATGAATAAATAAAATAAGTAATAAAATGTGTAGAGTGAATAAATGATGAAAAGTACGATAAATATAATTATAAATATTTTAATATGATTATGTTATTATATTATTATAAGGATCAGAAATCCTCTCTGTCTAAAATTCTGTTACATTCAGCCAGAACTTTATTTCTTTCTCTTCCAAGATAATATGTATCACCTAAATTGCACATATCAAAATATTTTTTATTGTGTTTCAAGAAATTAATTGGTTGAAAGTATAAATAAGCAATTGGCCATACAACAAAATAAGGAGCCCAAGAAAATCTCTTAGTTTAAAACATTCTTGCCATAGAAACAACAGCAGCACAAGCCCAACCATCAACAATTGAAGTATAAGTCACATCATAACGATATCTAAGATAATAAATATATTAAGTAATACTCTCTTCTAACAACATATCCCCAATCTCTTTCTTCCTATGTTTTGTAAAAATTAGTGTCAAAATCAGCAATATATTTTTAAACAAATGCCTTTCTCAATTTAGCAGCTTACATTTCTTCTGCTGAATATCCACGTTAATATTCCATTTCTTCTTTGGCATTCACATATCTACGAATTGCTCTAGACATTTTTTTATTTAATTAATATATTATTCTCAAGATATGGATGGATCAAAATAATCATTCAAAAGTAGTGTCAAAGGGATTATACAACCAAAAACATTTGGTAATGCAACTCAAAATCCCAATATGTCTGGTTAATTAGGTTAAGAATAGAAACCTAAATCTAGATTTATTTAACCAAATATGACTGGTTATGCAAATGTACCAGCATCATAAAAAGTTTCTATTAAACCAGTAGACTTAAGTCAACAATCTAATAAAAGAAATGAAGATGTTAATGTAGCTACATTTCTTGTACCTGATGGAATGACTAAATAATAATATTAATAACAGAGTGCTGTTGTTTCTTAAAACTTTTAAATTGTCGACTTATATCCTGTATAAATTAAAGATACAGATATTAAAGATGAATAAGATACTGCTGAAAGTTAAGAATAAGAAGAAGTTATTCCCTATTAAATAAGTGTTTATCATTATAAAGCTTAAAGATAAAATTTTAATATCGTTCTTAATATTAAAGATTCTGATGATAGAAATACAAGAATGGAAGTCAATTATTAGGAAACTGAAATTGGAAAATTTGGAAATGCTACTGTTAATATGATTTATAGATAAAAACTGTTATATTTACCTGAAAAGTCCATAAAATTATAATAATAATAAGGAAGAGTTCTCCCAGTTGCTCTTGAAATATTACCTTAATCTTAAGATAATTATAAAAGAATATCCATTAAATTATCTGATCAAGTTTAAGCCATTTTGGTATAAATAAAAGAGAATACTGCTTAATTTGATTAAGTTGTCAAAGAACTTTCAAAATATTCTGTTGTTTCTTAAATAAAACAAATAGTTATTGATAAATCATATCATAAAATTTTGGATAGATTAAATGTATTACAATAAATTATGAATCAAAACCTCAATAAAATAAATGAACTTATTTAACTTACTGAAATATAAAATGAAAAAGTACCTGCAGTTTCTATGTAAAATATGATTGATTTTATCATAAAATTACCATAATAATAAACCATAGAATTTTCATAACTAAAATTTGCATCATTTTATACATGTCAAGTTATGTGTAAATAATTAGAAGTTTAAGAAGAACAATGTACTAGTTGTTCTTAATTTGTTATTTAATTTAATCAAGGTGTTGACGCTGTTCAAATTTTATATGATTTTGCAAAATTAAAAATACCTAAATTGTATAATAAATTGGATATCATTAATAATAAATTAAATTTAATTGTTTTACCATACCTAGAATTTAGATAAAAAAATGATTTTATCCTTCAAGATATTTAAAAAGTAGATTTAATCTAAATTTATTATAGTATCTCATTAAAATGTCTGAGAAGAAACATTTCATAATGAAAACTTTGATGTAAGAAATCATGACAAAAGAAGAAGTTGAACATCTAGATTAAAATTATATATTAAATCAATATGCAACTTATAGGAATCAAATAATTAGAAATCCAAATAAATTTAATTATGAAATTTTGAAAAAAAGACCTCTTTTCATTCTATAATAAATTAAATTGTAATTAAATTAAATCATATTGAATTAGACTGTTTCATGCTTAATTATAAATTGAAGACCTATTTTTTAAAATTTAAAATTTGCGAAATGTATATGACACATATGTTCAATTTCCAATTTTTGAATTTTAATTAAAACAAGTTTAATTGAATAAGATAAAAATCTAAAAAGAAACTTTAGATACAGATGATTAAGAAGTATTTAGAGATAAAGTAGTTGAATTGAAGTAAAAAATGATAGAGTTAAATTAGACAAGATATGGACATCTTATTTAAGTTTCAAAATATGTTTCCTAGTGAAGTAGAAGGTTTACCATATGGATTTATACGTTTTAAAGATTGGGTAGATAGTGAAATTGGATCTGGTTTAACATTATTAAGAATTTTAAATAGTAAATTACATTCAATTGATATCCTTGAAAATTAAATAAGTGAAGCTGAAGGTTTACAATTAATAGATAAAAGCAAAAAATTAATTTTATAAATTTAAAAATTAATTGATTAAGAAATACCATTACATTATTATGATTCTAAATTAAAATTACCATCTGATATTTAAAATGCTGTTACAGAAATTTGCACTAAATATTTTTTTGATGATGAAGCTAAATAAACACCTTCAAAAACACCATAATAACTTCCAATTGCTCCGCCTAATGGATAAATTACTCTCCTTGAATAATGTAGTAAAGTTCTTGAGAGATTATCAAAAGCTAGAGAGAGTATTTTAATTAAAAAATAAATCATTTAAGAAATAGGCTTATAATATTCATCTTTAAATGATTATTGTTTTAAATATCAAATATGGGAGCATATTAATGCAACTAGATATTTAATGACTTCATAAATGTTTTATGACATTATTTCTTAAATTATTAGTGTAGAACCACAAAGATTTACTCTTGAAGGTACAATCAAAAAAATTAGAGACCATATGATATATTTTGAAATGAATTAAAATGTCTAAACTAGCGTTTCTTTCAAAGTTCATCTAAAAGATGGTTTATAGCTATTTTAATTATTCAAAGATAGTTCAGATGAATATAATAGGTTGCTAATAGCTAATTCAAAAAAACCAGGATCAGTAAGTATTGATTCATTAATTAATTCCTTAACAAATAATGTGAATAATTTTTTGAAAATTAAGACTTGCACCTTAACCTAATAAAAAGATGCTATCTTAAGAGCTATGCCTCTATTTATAAATATGATAAAGGAATAATTTGAAGATTCATCTAAAGCAGCTGAACTTGATTAAAAGTTTTCAGAAGCAGAAACAGTCCTAGTTGAAACAGATACATTTTTTTCAAAAGGAGAAAGCAAATTAGGAAAAATATATGAATTGGGTGTTGAAGCTGTGGGATAAGATAAAATAAAAAAAACTATGTCCTTAGAATAGTTTCGAATGAATTTGGGGTTTGATTCATAAATTTAACTTTTAAAAGATAAAGCTGAAGCTGCTCATAATTAATTTTTAATGTAATTATTTATTTTATATTCAAGGTATAAAGAAAAGTTATCTCTTAATAGTCTTCCAATCTATAAGAATAAATTAGAGTAAAAATTAAAAGAATTTGAATCATTAAATTAAACAATTTTAATGTTTGATAAAACAATTACTTCAATCTATTATAGTTCTATTGATTTCTTAGATGCTTTAACTGAATTATAATAAAAAATTGAAAATATGCTCTCATTAGCTAATTCTTCTTTTATTTTAGAAGGATTAAATAAATAATTAAAATAATAATAAGATACTTATGGAGAAGTTAAAAAAATTTAATCAGGAATTAAATTACATCCTTCTATAGAACCAATAGTCTTGACAACCTAAGAAATTTAAGTAAATTTAATAGAAATGTTAACTAATATGATCTAGATTATAACTTCATTTGTTGAAATTTATGATGGTTTTATGTTATTTTAAGATTAAATCAATTTATTAAGTGAGGAATTCTTTTAAAGTGTTTATAGATGGTTAACATTTTTTGAAGGAAAACCTTCTGATAGAAAACTTATATATTAAGAAGCACTTTTAAAAATAGATGTTGCTATTGAAAAAATTGGAAAATTTCCAATTTTAAGAGTTCCTTGTACTAAAATTTATTAAACTTTAAAAAAAGTTGTCGAAACCTATTAAAGAGATGTTAATACTGAAGTTATGAAAATGTTATCAGAGTTTGGATAAACTTATTAAACTAAAGGAAATAAAGTATAAAGCTTTTAAGAATTTTAAAATGAATTAACTTATTTATTAACACCTGAAAATTCAAAAGAAGCTACTAGAAAAGCATTACAAGCATTTTTTGAAAAAAACAAAAAGGCTGAATAACCATTATCAAGAATGTCTTAATTTGTTAAAGCCACTTAAACTATATCAAAAGATGAAAGATTAAAATCTATGAAAAGATTAAAAAAACTTTAAAATCCAGATGAAATTTAAACTTAAATGGGAGGTGGATAAATGGAACATTGGATATCATCTTGCAAAAATATGACAAATGCATTAGAAATGTATTTTAAGAATGTCAATGATAATCAACTTTAACCCTTAGTAAATTATACACGTAATTTTTTATATAAAACTATTTAGAAAAAATAGAAGAAACAACTAAGGGCATGAACAATTAAGATCTAAAGAAATTTATTGGAAGATTTTTAGAAATGCTTAAGATAGATTATAATCTTAGTAAATTTTAATGACTTTTATGATATTTATTTTAAATATTTAATCAACTTGTAATTTAGAATTGTCTTTTATCAAACTAAAATCATTAGATTGTAAAAATACTAAAAAATGCTAAATGACATATAAAATTCCTATTATAGTAGTACATATAGCAACTGATAAACCAAAATCATGAATCGCAGTATGTTTTGGAGTTTTAGTATTTTCAGCAAATAACCATAAGGCTATACTAAAAAATTAATATTCCATACAATAAGCAAAAAAAGCCTCTTCCAAATTAATTGCAGGCAAAATAAAACTATTCAACCATTATTGATTTTTTTGTTTCGCCTAACAATAGTAAAAAACTCATTGTGCTAATCAAACAATTATATCTATATTATACATTAAATTTATATTTGTCATTATTGAGTTTAATTTATAGATCTCCTATTCTATGCAGTAAATAATGGACCAAATACAAAAAATAAGAATTAATATAAAATCAAGCATAGTGGCTAACTTTGAAACAAAGCTCACATCAATTTCCATTGAATATTTTCTATTAATTATAAAGTAAATATATTAATAAAAAAAATTAGAAATTTAAATTCAAATAAATATATAAATTAATACTAATTTACATTAAAAGATAATGTTATATTAAGCCATATTATTTGCTTACCTAAATATCAAAATGAGAATAATTATAGTTTATTAATTTTTTGACAGTTTAATAGAAAATCCTATTTAATATGATATAGGTAAAATTATTCAATCATTTTGATCATCATTTTCCTCTGCTATTTCTTCAGGATATTCACCTTCTCCTTCCTCACCTTCTTCATTCAATTATTCTGGGTCAATTCCGAATAAATGCAAATTTTACTAAATTTTTGTAATATATTACACTAAAGATTTCTCTAAATTAATTATTTTCATTAGCTAATTTTTCAACTTCCTCTTATAATTGTTATTTTTCATCACTTAAATTTTAATATAAAGGTTTGAAATTTTCAATCAATTCTAAAATTAAATTAAAAAAAACCTTCTAATTTTCTACAATCCTCATCTTTGGCTTCAAGTTGTTATTGTAAATTCTAAATCATTTAATCCTTATCATTATCTTAGCTTTTTGATTATTTCTTATTTGATGAGATTTGATTTTTTGTATTGCGACTATTATTTGCTTATTCCTCTTGAATTTACTGAATTGCTTCTTACATATCTTAAAGTTACTATTGGTATTACTCTATAATTTAATCTTTCATATCTGATTCTTATTACAATTCTTCAATTTTTTTTTATATTTCTTCCTAAAATATTAATTTTATAATATTTTACAAAATTAAATTCCTGTGTTATTTGTTCCAACTATTACTCTTTTTCATTGTAAGCTTGTTCAAGCTCATTAAGTTAAGATTCATATTATTGTCGAACTTTATTAATTTCATCTTATAAATGCCTATTAGCTTGGCTAAGTCTTTAATTTAAATTTTTATTTTCATCTTATAATTATTAGATTTTTTATTTATCTTCTCTATGTTTTGATTCATAATCTTATTCTAGTTTAGACCTATATTATATTTAAATTTTAATTTACAATCGCTTTTAAACTTCTTTTTCTTTATCTTTCGCCATATTTAATTCAGCCTTTAATCTTTCGGTTTATTACTATTCATCTTTTAATTAATTAATTATAGATTAGTTTGCTCTATCAAATTCTTAAGGCTTTTAATTAGATGTAAATTATTTTTTATCAAAACCTTAGTATTGCTAATCATATCTTTTCTCATGACTATCAAGTTTTTTATCTAAATAATCATTTTTTCTATCTTGGTATTCTGGTTTCCTATTAACATCAATAGTTTTAGAATAATCAGGTTTTCTTGTTTCATTTGCTAAATAATCTTTGGTTGGTGGTTGAGCTTTAAATTCATTCTTTTTAATTTAATTTGATTGTTCTAGTTTGACAGGAGCTGGAACAAAATTCTAATTCTTTTAATACATTTCTATTTTAAGGAAAAAAGAGTACCCTGATAAGGAATGATTTCAGTTTTGTGTTATTAGTCAATTGGACCTGTGCGATTATGAATTTACGAATCACAGGAATAACACAATCTATAAGTTTAACCATATCGACATTAAGAACATTTGATAGTAGCTGGTCTTTGTTAACATTTCTAACACTTTACAAATAGAGATTGCATATTTGAATTTGTGTTTTTGTATTAAATTTTATTTGAATTTTCTATAAATACAGAAATATAAAGAAATAAAATTATATTTATTATTTTTATTATTATATATAACATCAAGCCCAGACTTGACCTCTAAATTGAATAGCTCTAGAGTTCTTCCATCCTTTTTTAAAGTGATTGTAATACACACCATCTCTGACAGCATACATTTCCCATCTGAAATTTGATAGATAAAATAAATTTACCTAAGAGAGAGATTATTTCTATAAAATCCTCGAGTCTTTAAGTAAGCAAAAGGATAGATTAATGCAACTCCAGTTAAGAACATATAATATCTGACAGTTTTATCTGGTCTTTAGAAACCACTTCTTCTTTAAACAAATTAAATGAAATTTGTAACATCAAAAGCCATCTAAGGAGTAGATGCAGGTGTACCATCTTCATAATCAACAAGACCTATTTAATTACAATATTAATATCAATACCATCATGTAATTATCTAACCATACCAATTATCATATGATCAAAATAAGGATTGTATGCTTTTCCTTTAGGAACATCCAATCCTTAATAAGGTTTGTAATGATAACCAGTCAAAATATTGTAAATGTAATTGATACCTCCTGGTCTAAGTCTAATTTTTGAGAAATCTGTTGGCCAAACACCACCATTAGCATTTTTTGCTTAATCTTAAGAAAAGTAAGGTGGATAGATTCCTAAAATAATGAATTATTGAAAGGATGTGTACTGTCATGTATATATCTATCTCTTTCATCCCATTCTTAATAGTAAAATTGTTTGAAATGATGATGAGCAGGATGGATTGTGAAATTACTAACCAATGCTGCCAATTCTAATTGCTTATAGACTTTATCCAATAAAACATCATATTTCTTATACACAATTCCATGACAATTGGCACAGTTTCTAGAGAAAACAAGAAATCTATGGAATCAAAATGTTTTATACCCTCTTCTTACACTTCCAGAATCAAAAGTACCCAAAAATCTATATTATGGCCATGACATATGACCTCTATGAGTACCTACTTCAGTGACTTGTTCTTCATAACCTTTGATACCCCAGAAGGCACCAATATCATCTCTGTATAACCAGGCATGTACTGTATTCTCTTTTTGAGTAATCAACATTCCTACTCCTAAACAAAAAAGAGCCTTCATTTTAAAAAATATTTAATATCTAATAAGTAATATTTCTAATTATATATAATGTACTTAAATAACATTAATAATAACCTCATTTCTTTGCTTGGGTTTTAGGTTGAGCTTTTTAAGTTGCTTATGGAGCAGTTTTGGCTGGTTAAGTCTTAGCAGGTACTTAAGTTGGTGCTTTCTTAGCATCTTTAGGTGGAGCTACCTATTTTACTGATGCTACTTATTTAGTTTACTTAGATTGCTAATTATTATCGATTTAAATATTTTACAGCTACAGCCTAAGTCTTTTCTTTAATTTCAGAAGATGCTTTTCTATGTTTTTTATGTGCCTCATGTACATCATGAGCCAATTTTTTATAAGCTTCTAATGCTTATTTTGCTTTAGTTCTTCTTGCTTATTCTGTCTTCTTTTAAATAGTCTTTCTTCTCAATCTTGATTCAGTCACAAGTCTTTATATTTTTGTAGCCTTTTATCTCTTCTTTCCATCTTTTGTTGTCCATGTTCTTCTTATAAGATTCTTTTAGACTAAGGCAACACCATCAGTTTTTTTGAATCCAAATAATCTTCTTAATTTAGTTAATCTCTTTGGACCTAATCTTCTTGGAACATTTTAATCTGTAAGTCCAGCAATTTCATTTGTTCCCTTCTTAACAACTTATAAGGCAAGTACTCTAATATCTTAACCAACAATGCATCCTCTAATTGATTTTCTTTTCATTTCACCGTCTTTTCTTGGTCTATAACCTTTATGTCCTTTTCTCATTAAAATTCTAACTCTTCCCTTAAATAGAACACCTTGTCTCATTGGAAATCCTTATTTATCATTACCACCTGTGATTTTAAATATATATCCTTTAAATTCATCGCCAAGGTTGTCAGCTTCAACTACTTGACCCATTCTCTTATCAAAAAAGATTGAGCTAAATATGATATTAAAAAAGTTATTACCATTTCTTATCATCATCTATTTCGACTGTCTTTTAAGCACCAGTTAAGGGATAGGATATGTTAAACTATATATAATTGTTTCAATAGTTACCTTCATTAAAATCTTTGGATTTTTTTAAAAATTAGATTTAAAAATATGTATAAGGTATATTAATAAAATATATGAGTGAATAAACCAATCAAAACTAAACTTCTATATCACCTCTAGAATTGGAAACAAGTACCAATCCCAAATCTGAGTTCACTGAAAACACAACAAAAAAAAGAGAAATTAAATCAAACCTCACCTAAGCAGCACTTAACTTATACAAATGTTGTATAGGCTCAGGAATTTTGGCAGCTCCCTTTACTTTCTGTGAAGGAGGATACTTACTCACATCATTCTGTTATTTCTTGATCTGTATCCTCATGATCTACTCATAATTAGTATCTATGCTCCTAATTAGTAGATGCTCTTAAGAATTGTCGATGAAATCAATTAACCCAATTTAGGTTTCTCAGAAATCACATACATAATCTTAGGTGAAAATTATGTATACATAAACAAATTATTCATAATAATCATGCAATGGGGATGTTGTGCTTCATATGTTTTATTTTTTATGGAATTCTTAGAATATGCAATATACCATCATTAAGATGTAGTGTTTTCTCACTAGCTACTTTATTTAGCAATTGCCATGTGCATCATCATCCCTTTAGTTTTCATTAACAACATGACTTTGTTCACTAAATTTAGCACACTTGCAAATGTAATATTAAATAGTAATCAAGAGTTTTATTATCATTTCACTAATCAGCTGCATTGTTTACTTTAGTATTGAACTTAACTCTGAGGTCAACTACAATGATATTCCAGTTGCTAGATTCAAGAATCTCCCTTTAGTTATAGGAGTTGCTCTTTTTTCTTTTGAAGCCATAGGAACACTTTTAGATGTGAGGAAATCTATGTAGGAACCAATTAAATTTCCCAAATTAATGACTTTAGTATTTTCAGGTTGTACAATGTAATTCTGGATTTTTGGACTTCTTGGTTCTTTGAGTTATGGGGATACAACTAATGAAATAATTTTATTCTCACTTGGATAAGGTGCTGAGGCATTTTAAATTCTTTATGCAATTGCGTTAATAATTACTTTACCTCTGCAATTGTTACCAGCTTTTCATTTAATTGAAAAAATTAAAATTGCAAAGAGCTTCACTAAAGAAGGAACTTCAGGTTTTTTATTTAGAAGAACTCTCTTGAGATTACTTTAAGTTCTAGCTATTGCAGGATTAGCAATAGGCATTCCATAGTTTGCTCTTTTGATTTCTTTTATTGGAGGATTATGTGGAGCTGTTCTTCAATTCTTTTTTCCTTTAATGTTTTATCTTAAATGGGATTGGCGATTTAGACCATCAGAATTAGAAGGATAAATTTACATATCTGCAATGTGTTTAGGTTGCATTCTAGGATTAGTAGCTGTAGCAGATTCCATTTATGAAATAGCCACCTAATGAAATTATATTTTTATGTAATCAATTAAATTTAATATTAATATCTCATATCAATTATTTTATTACTTTTCAGTTATACTACAAAATAAAATCATTTCTATATAAATCAGAAAAGATTTAATCAAAGAAAAAATTTTATTAAAATTATTAATAACAGTTTATATTTTGTATTTGAATTTTTGTAAATAAAATAATTTACAATGTTTAATCATAAATCCAAAAGGCCATCCTTATTGTACATTGAATGTAAATCAAGAGATATATCAAGAAGGGGTTCAAGATTGAGTGATATTTTTGATGATACTAATTATAAATAGAATACCTTTTAATAATAAAGATAATAATATTCAACTACTAAAAATAAGGATATTCAATCTTTGAATATAATGTACAAACAAGCTATGTTTGATTAATAAATCTTGTAGGATTAAACTTATATGCTCATTGAAGATTTGAATGGTAAATTGTTACAAAGAGCAGAATTGATAGGATAAATTGAAGAATTAGAAGAATTGATAGATTATCATAAAAAGCACAGTTCTATTGAAATTGGATTTACACTTAAATTATAAAAATTAGAAATTCTAATTCAACAATATTAAAAATAGTCTCTGAACACATCCCAATTATTAAGATAAAAAGAAATATTTTATCAAGATTTGAAAAAACTAGTTAATTAAGAGGCTTTCAATGCCTTTGGAATGTACTTGAAATAATGGGGTACATTATTAATTATTATTTTTTGAAAGGACATGAATTTGAACTCATTAAAAATAATTATGGTCTTGAAACATATCAATAAGTTTTAGCTGAAAAACAATAGGAATTCGTTTAAAATTTAACCACTCTTTATGAAAAGAAAATAAATGGTATTCTCTAGCTATTCAAAAATTATCAATTATTAAAAAATTCTATGCTTAACAATATAGAATTCGTTGATAATAACTTAAATCCAGAATTGTTTAATATAAAGTAAGCTATAAAACAAAATTAAGAATTAATTTAAAAAATACTTAGAATCCATCTGGATTAAGGTATTTCATCTAATTTTAATGAAAAGATGTAAAACTTAGAGTTGAAAAATATAAAGTTAGCATAAAAATTAAATGAAATTGCTCGAAATCAAAAATTTGCTTAGGAAACAACTAAAACTAAGAAGGAGAATGATGAATTTTTTTTGGAAGATTTAATTGAATTTAGTGAAATATCTTAAATTGATAATTGTGATTTGAAAAATGAAATAGTCAATTCTTTTTAGAAATAACAGTATAAAGCATTTGATAAATCAATAACTCAAACATAAAATTTTTAAACTTATGATGTAAATAAAGAAACTTAATTGAAGTTTAACTAACTATTGTAAATATATTAATAAAATAATATTGATACTGATACTAAAAATTTTGAGGGTTAATGTATATCAGAAGATTCAACATTACAACATTTTCAGGAAATAAATTTGGCACTCATATAATCAGGTAAATCTATGGATATTTATCCTATAAAACTCTAGTAATCATAATAGCCATTAGAGATTTAAGATTCTTAATCTTCTTAATAAAACTTATTTTTCAGATTGAAAACTATAACTGAAGAATAATTAAGTTCAAAAAGGAATTAATAGTATATTAATCAAAAAAGCAAGATTGATACAAGTCCTGTAAATTAGAATCTTAAAACCGCATTAAACTTAAAAAAAATCAAATAATTAGATAATTTTTCTTAAAGCAAAGGTATCCCTTTAACAGATTAAACTAAAAGATTTTCAAATAATGAGACTTAATCAAAAGATTAAACAAAAAATGAAATTGAACCTATTAAAAGATAAATTTAGATTCCATTTTCGAATGGATCATTATTTTTTAGTAATCAAGATCAAACATCAATTTCAAGTTAAAAAAATTAAATTGATTAAATTTCTAAATTAAAAGATAAAACTACTTTGTCAGAAAAGTTATCTAAATAAAAAAAGTCCAAATCCTTTGACTCAACATCTAATAAGGAATAACTAAAACAATTTACTGGAAATACTTCAACAAATAATGGTCATTCAAAAGAGATTTAATAAGTATAGAATACTATAAATTTACTAATACCAATTGAATAGGAAATTTTGAGAATACTTAAACCTTTATTAAAAGGCTAATAGATATACAAACGTTTTTCATCTACAAAACCAAATATAAAAAAATAAGAATTTGATCCATTCAGTTGTTAAAATCCAGCAAATTATGGTTTCTGTCCAAGAATAATTTGTTTAGCTAAAAATTTTGAATGCATAGAATTTAAAAATTAAATGAAAATAAATGTAAAGTGATTTCTATTACCTAGCAAGTTGATACTTATATTAAATTGGATGAAATAATGAGAACTATGATTCCTAGCCCTATTCAATAATGCATTTAAGTAAAGAAATAAATTTAATGCAAATATATATTGAGTAAATAAGAAAGCACAGTTTAGAAAATATCTTTTTGGCCAATGTTTCTGATAACTCAAAATGATGGACGAATTGAATTACTTTTTAATAGTGAATCTGTTTTAGAATAATGGCAAGCTAACTTCCTTTTTTTAAAAAACAATATCAAAACACTTCAAATCATCAATAAAAAATTACATTAATGATTATGAATGAATTTTAGTTAATTTAATTACATAATTTTTTAATTCAATATTAAATATATCCAAATTAATAAAAGATGCCTATCTATAATGAAGTTTGGGAAGAGGAAGGTATGCTATTATTTTGATTTGAGATTTTATGTTTAGAAATATGATCAATTTATAAACATTAACAAAGAATCATGTGAAGTTGTTGGATAATCTAAAATTTGAGTTTGTCGAATATAAAGTAATTATATTAAAATATTGAAGGCTAATCAATTATTAGCTTGCCATCTTTATGATAGAATGGCTTAACATTGCAAGAATCAATTTGGTCTATTTGAAGACTCTTATGTACCAGAATGTTTAGATGCTAGAAATTATTTCTAATTATGTGTAAGAATGAATGCCTCTTATGGTCTAGCCAAAAAATATTTCCCAGAGTAATCAAATTAGATAATTATAGATATTTCTTAACCAACGAATACTCAAGACCAAATCCCAATTTTAAGGAATTAGGACTTTGATCCATTCATTATATAAAATAAGTAAATTAATAATAATAGAAAGTCTTAAAAATCTCAATTTTTTTATTTATATTTTTATTTAATAAAAAAATATATATGAATAATAATAGATGATATAAAATATGAAACTGCAAATAAAATTGCAAATAATTTCGAGTGAAACAATTCTAAATAATTAAAAATATAAAAAAGAAGAAAAAAATAAGTGATTTAAACTTATTAAATGATTTAAGGTATGATATTTTGAATCAACTGCACATTGTAAATTATTTTTTGTATACTAATAAACCACATTATGAGCAATAATAACTTTTGTCTTTACATTCACTTATAACGAAAGGTAACCAACATAATGGCCAAAAGATGAATAAAATCAATATGAATGCTATAATTGTTTACCATCCTATGCTTCTTCCAGTTATAAGTGTATGTGGTCTTTTGCAATGTATACATAAGGCATCTCCAGCCATGACTACTGCACTACCAAGATTAATACTAAGATTAGAAAATTTTAAATACTTAACTGTAGTATTAGCTTAAGAAGAAGATTAAGGAAGGTGTCCTTATTGAGGAGGATATCCTTAAGGAGGAGGCTGTCCATATCCTTATGGAGGAGGGTATCCAGGGTGTCCATATCCTTATTGAGGAGGGTAACCTTATTGAGGAGGATAACCTTATTAAGGAGGATAACCTTATTAAGGAGGATAACCTTATTAAGGAGGATAACCTTATTGAGGAGGATAACCACCATATTATGCAGGAGGACCACCATAATTTTAAGCTGGGTCTTGCATTTAATTGTACACTGGGCCCTATTGTTATTAAGTCTTGGCAGAGGGCTGAACCACTGGTTTTAAATCTAATTCATTAAATTTTATCTTAACCCTAATCTTGCCTTTAGGCATTAGGCTGAAAATAAGACATCTTTGAAAGTTTAATATTTAATAATAAATAACAAATCCAATATTTATAGATTTTAAATATTAGTAATTGTTTACTTAAAACTAATTTCTTTCATTAAATTCAAAAAGAATTAGCTTTAAATCAAATTTAAAATACATTAAATAAAATTATGTGAGAAGAATTATCCTAAAATATAATCTACATATTTTTATAATTATTTTTTTAATTATTTCTTCCTTACAAAAATATTTCTATTTGATTTATTTATTAAAGATCTACAAGTTTTAATAAATTAAATAAAGGCTTTGCTGAATCAAAAAATTTCGATAGAAATTTAATTCATTGAGATAATTACATAATAATTTGACTCAATTTTAAATATTAATTATACCAATTATTATTTCTTAATTTATTTCTTTTTATTTGAGAATCCACTAGAATTATTGATTATATCTTATTAATAATAATACATTAGCCGGTATTTTTATCCATAATTGAGATCAATTTCAACATCAACCGTTATTTGAAAGCTCATAATTTATTAATGATAAAATAAATAAATCATATTGACTAATCAAGGGAATATTTACTTTACTAATTTTAATATAATTATGAAGAAGGCCATCATGGGATTATTAATATGTTAGGTGGATTTCTAATTTACTTTTTGAAAAAACTTCCATTTAAGCTCCATTTAATTTTTATTTAAATTTGAGGTTGATAGTATAATAAATATTTAAAAAAATAACTCCATTGCTTAATTAAATGACTTTTTCATACTAGTTTGTTCCTTTACTTCATCTGCCTTCTTATAATTGATAATATAGTATTTTATTTAATTTTAATAATTATAGAAAGATAACTAATTATCAATATATATAAAATTCTATTGAAAATCTTATTAGAGCAATTCTTTATTATTTATCAAATTTATTTTAAAATTATTGAGGGAAAAGATATCCACAAGACTAGTTCAAATAAAATCCTTATTATTGAGTTTAAAGACATGAAATATGATAATTAAACATCTCTCTTCATAATAATTTTAGATGCAATAAAATTTTCTTTAAAGTTGAAATACATTTTCCTATTTTATATGCTCACAATTAAAGTAACAGGTAATTCATAGTTATCTTAAATAATTATTTTTTTTCAAAAAAATTTAATTTAATAATTTACTGAATAAATTATTTTTATAAGTATAAAAATTATAATTCGGTCTTTCAAAAGGATCAAATCCTACTTTTAGAAATTCTGTGGATAATTAATTAAGAATCCTCTTAGGGAAGCAACTAAAATCAAAAGAAAAAGTTCGATGTTTTATCCTGTTACAATCATCATCTTTCAATTTTTAGTTTTATAATGCTATGATGCAACTTGATATGTGAATTAAAATATCTCCAAACTTAAAAATTTTATTTAGAAATAATATGGTTCACGTCTAGGATGAATCAAAGTACTTAAATTTTTTAATGATCGAAATCTTTTATTAAGCCTACTATAGTTTTTTAATTATATTATCATTTAAACAAAAGCACAATTAAAACTCAATATCAATAAAAGAATTAATAAATTTTCTACGTTAGATTATAATAATCTAAGAATTTATTTTATTATTGTTATGATCATTAAAATAAGTTAAGAATTAAATTAACATTTATTAATAGTCCCAATCAATCAAATATTTTAATATTTGCATATTCATGTTCTGTATTACCTAAACACTAGTTTTGGGTACACGTTTTGAGGGTAGGACTTAATTTAAAATGTTAATTTTTCTATCAATACCAAATATTAGGAAGATTTCAAATCCCTTACAATTTCTATAAAAATAAAACTCTTTTTGTATGAATTTTCAAAATTTTTATATGAAATTTGTAAGTTAGTGAAAAGAATGACTATTTTTTGATGATAAAAAATAATTGATTTAGTATAATTTGAATATTAGTTTGAAAAATCATTAAATATTTATAAATAGAAATATATTTGATTAATATAAACATTGTTTAAAAGAATAAATGAAATAATTTTGTTTTTATTGTCTTTGATAGTATATTGAATTGTAGATAAAATAATTTAATTTTTTGGCAATTTATATTTTATAGAAGAAAGTGAAAATAATATTTAGAAATCTCATTTTTTATTTAAAAATTTTAAATAACACAAATATTTATATAGAAATGTTAAAAAATCATCTAATGTTTTTATTTAAACTTTTTGATAAGGTTTCTTGGATTCTTTTATTTAAATTAATGAGTTTTTAGTCAACTGAGTCTGTATTAGAAGTTTTATTAAGAGTGGAATTATTATTATTGATAGAACTAGTAAATTTAGTGTTATTATTGTTATTTGTAATCTCTCTATTTTCTTAACTTAATGTTAATTAATCAAAAGTTTTTTAAACTTATTGTTATTATTACTGATATAACTAAAATGATGAATTTAAGATAGATGATTTATTAGTTAAGCCAAGATCAAAATTATGTATTTGCATATCCTTAACATTAGTTAAGAATAATTGTAATTCAAGCCAATCAGGTCTTAAATTGAAATCAATAATGAGCATTTTTTTAAGAATAATATCAATTCTTCCTGGATAAAGTTATTTTAATTATTCGAAAGAATCGTTANTAAAAATTATAATTCGGTCTTTCAAAAGGATCAAATCCTACTTTTAGAAATTCTGTGGATAATTAATTAAGAATCCTCTTAGGGAAGCAACTAAAATCAAAAGAAAAAGTTCGATGTTTTATCCTGTTACAATCATCATCTTTCAATTTTTAGTTTTATAATGCTATGATGCAACTTGATATGTGAATTAAAATATCTCCAAACTTAAAAATTTTATTTAGAAATAATATGGTTCACGTCTAGGATGAATCAAAGTACTTAAATTTTTTAATGATCGAAATCTTTTATTAAGCCTACTATAGTTTTTTAATTATATTATCATTTAAACAAAAGCACAATTAAAACTCAATATCAATAAAAGAATTAATAAATTTTCTACGTTAGATTATAATAATCTAAGAATTTATTTTATTATTGTTATGATCATTAAAATAAGTTAAGAATTAAATTAACATTTATTAATAGTCCCAATCAATCAAATATTTTAATATTTGCATATTCATGTTCTGTATTACCTAAACACTAGTTTTGGGTACACGTTTTGAGGGTAGGACTTAATTTAAAATGTTAATTTTTCTATCAATACCAAATATTAGGAAGATTTCAAATCCCTTACAATTTCTATAAAAATAAAACTCTTTTTGTATGAATTTTCAAAATTTTTATATGAAATTTGTAAGTTAGTGAAAAGAATGACTATTTTTTGATGATAAAAAATAATTGATTTAGTATAATTTGAATATTAGTTTGAAAAATCATTAAATATTTATAAATAGAAATATATTTGATTAATATAAACATTGTTTAAAAGAATAAATGAAATAATTTTGTTTTTATTGTCTTTGATAGTATATTGAATTGTAGATAAAATAATTTAATTTTTTGGCAATTTATATTTTATAGAAGAAAGTGAAAATAATATTTAGAAATCTCATTTTTTATTTAAAAATTTTAAATAACACAAATATTTATATAGAAATGTTAAAAAATCATCTAATGTTTTTATTTAAACTTTTTGATAAGGTTTCTTGGATTCTTTTATTTAAATTAATGAGTTTTTAGTCAACTGAGTCTGTATTAGAAGTTTTATTAAGAGTGGAATTATTATTATTGATAGAACTAGTAAATTTAGTGTTATTATTGTTATTTGTAATCTCTCTATTTTCTTAACTTAATGTTAATTAATCAAAAGTTTTTTAAACTTATTGTTATTATTACTGATATAACTAAAATGATGAATTTAAGATAGATGATTTATTAGTTAAGCCAAGATCAAAATTATGTATTTGCATATCCTTAACATTAGTTAAGAATAATTGTAATTCAAGCCAATCAGGTCTTAAATTGAAATCAATAATGAGCATTTTTTTAAGAATAATATCAATTCTTCCTGGATAAAGTTATTTTAATTATTCGAAAGAATCGTTAAGATGAATAAGACTGATTGCTCCATTTTCAAAGATATAATCAGAATTTTTGAGAAGGCAAAGTGATAATATGATAATACTATGAAATATAAAAGATAGATATATACCCTAATCCAAAAACATCTTATTTAAACCTATTAACTCTAAGATTTCCTCCTGATTCAGGTGATTTATATTAATTTTCAAATAATTGTGGTGCTCTTGCTCTGAATGGGCTTACATCTTAAATTCTGTAGAGTAAATATTCTTCATCAAAATAGACTGATTCTAAGGTTAAGGCAGAATGTGTGATTCCTCTTTTTTAAAGAAATACAAAAGCTTCACATAATCCCGAAATCATTTTCCATATTTCTTCTTCTGGGACATATTCTTATGTTCTTGATCTTTTATCAATCAACTATTTAATATCTAAGGGTAGATATTCATAAAAGATTTTGAGTTGTCTGTTTTGACTAAATTAATCACTTTATTCTTCAAAGAAAATAAAAGAGACAAGATTTGGGTGTTTCCATTTGGTTCTTTCTTAGATAGCACTTACTTCTTCTAGACCAACAGTATTAGTCCAACAACATAAATACTTAGCGAAAGGATCCAATCTATAGATAGATGTTGTAGGTGAGATATCAATAACGTGATTAATGGAAGTATAAGCAGTAATCATATAATCCTTAGGATTTTCATTAGGTTATCTGGCTCTTGGTTCATTTTGTATTACAGGGTTATAGGATTGTGTAATTTTATGTAAGGGGTAGGGTTATTGTCTTTAAGCAACACAATATTCTGGGTACATATAATAAATTTCTGTTAAAAATAAAATCAAGTATAAAATAGATTAATCAAAAGAAATTTTCTATTTAATCAAACAAACTAATTAATTAGAATATGATAGATATTATTAATAATATCTTTATAATATATGATCTTATGTATAAATCACTCTATTATATATTATATAAGTATGGGCAATATAGTTATTCCCAGAGATTTCACAGAGGCATTTGATAGAAGACTTTTTTAACAGTTGTTACAAGATTAAATAAGTATTATTTTGAAGTAGGAAACATTCATAAAGTAAATTAAAATTGGATTAAAAAAGATGTGTATCATATTTCATATATTTGAATCATTTAATATATTAAACTTGTTTCTAAGTGTTAGTTCATTGTGCAGCAAGAGTTTCAAAATTACCTTTTTTGATTATAGCATTAATAAGAGAGTTGTTATATTAAAAAACATATGAGTATGTGAAAAAGAAAAAAACAGTATTGTAGTGTTTAATATTTTTGGTGTTTAGAAAAAGTTGAATAATTTTGAAAAAGATTTGAAGTAAAATAA